AAAAAAAAAAAAAAAAAAAAACAAAGGTAACTAAACAAAAGAAAAATACTAATACAGTGGAATAAAAAATAGAAAAAAACAGGGGAAAAAAACCTAAAGCGATTCTACTCGAAGAAAAATAGCATCACATAACCAATTATTATTGCATCACATTGCGAACTCATATAAAGGAATTAAAAAGATGAGCAAAAAAGGAAAGACAGACCAAAACTGTATCTTATCAACAAGACTCTAAACTTTCACTGAAAACCCTTCTAGGAATAGCCAGAAACCACAAGAGTACGTTTGTGGTAATTACACAAACTGTGCAAAAGCATTCACATCAGTTAGAAAGCAAAAATATGCTCAAGTTCCTCCAGTCAATGAAATATACTGTTGTCTAATGTATAAACCCCATAAATAAATGGGTTGGTCGATCCAATTCCATCTAATTATTAAGAAATTAGTTTCAACATTGATTATCCAATCCCAATATGCCGGTTAGGGGTGGTTTTTTGCACAAACCATCTTTGTTTTACATTAAAAAGAGAGATGAGTTGTCAATCAAAGAATACAAAAGAGCAGACAAAAAAAAAAAAACAACATGCCAAAAGAAGCCAAAACAAAGTCAAGACTAACTAATTATGCAAAAAAGGTATAATCCAAGATGACTAAGCCTAAAGAAAAAAAATACAAAAAATCCACTGAGATTGATGTTGTTATGCCTCAAGCCCTAATTTGGATTCAGCACCTATGTTCCAACATTCCATGTAACATGACCACGTTACCTGTTTGTTGCTTCTAAGAGGTAAGCTACTATCCCCAAAACCAATATGAGTCTTTTTAACTTGCTTTGTCCTCACTCATATGCTTCCTAAAAGGTCACCCAACATAGAATTACTCCAAACAAAACATGTTTAACCGAAAAAGAAAGTGCATCTTGTTAGTATAGGTAGTAAATTCAATTCTTTTAAAGTCTTTCTCAATCATTCTATCTTCAAGACCACTCTCAGTCGAATATGGTTTCAGTTCATTCATGTAACTCTCTTTCACTCGATTGTCACATGCCCACCAACTTCTACGTTGATTTGTCCTCGAACCATATCCTATTGGAAGAGACACCGCTTAGATGTCACTTGTAACGACCCGACATTCTATACATGTAAAAATCAAAGCTACTTAAAAGCTTACAATTTTATAATTTAAAATCAATTAAAAGAACGCAAAAATATATGAGAGAAAACATGTTTGGGGTACCTTTAAAAGAACTTTAGGATGCTTGTGGGTTAACCAAAATAATTCAACAATCCTAATACCAATTGAAAAGCACCATTTCAATCTCTCTAGTCCCCACAAACTAGGAGTTTTTCTACTACAAATCGAAACCATAGAACCAATTCAAACAGAAGTGATTCAAATAAAGCATACATAAAAAACTCCAGAGTTGCTCCATAACCATCTTCTCCACCAACATGCATCCTAAATTTCTCTCATCTATTTTTGCATCTTTCAATTGATTTTAATGATAAAATTGCTAGTTATTAAGTAACAACTTATACCGGTACATGTGTGGAAAATTGGGTCATTGCAAATGCCAACGGGAGGCATTTGATGACCGACCACGCCACTTACACCACAACCCTATATTACGCAATATGAAGAAGAATAGCATAGGAGGAGAGCACAAAAAAACCATTGGCCCAAAACCTCAACAATCAACGACCGGCATCCATACTTTCCTCAAATGCTTTTCCACAGCACTCATAAGGAAAAGCAGCAGCATAGAAACAGCTTTTAAGGAAAGGGCAGCGTATGCATTCATTTCCTTCTCGGTCACAACAACAGCAAGTGCAAACAAACAGTTAAATATATTTGAATTGATGCAGGGAAAATATTCTAAAAGGGAGTATGGTTCTCCTTTCCCTTCCATTTTACCTCTTCTCTTCTTCTCGTCAATTCGGATAAAAATTTCAAATCCAAAATTACAAAACGAACAATGAACACATAATATTTGACCCCTATTTTGATCACACTTAGTGGGAGAAGGCATAGGAGGAAAAGTCCAACAAACCATAGGCTCCGACACTCAACAGCAAGTCACTGTCCTTACTAATTTTTACCAGCATGCTTAAAAGAAACAGCAGCAGCAGATACATAATTATCAGGGCAAACAATCAAGAAGCCTATGCGTAACAGACAGTTGCAAACAAACATAGCAATTTATTAACTAACCCGGATGCACTGAAAGAAGCATTATTCATAAGCAATATATAGAAATAGTGCAAAACAAAGAGAGAAAGCACAAAGAATCTGGCGGCATCAAACCTTGCACAAGCAAGACATTGAAGACGTCCGAGCTTCCCATCCTCCAAATAATTCTTCTTCTGAATAGCGTTTTCGTAGATAGTTTTCACAAAATGAAGAAATGCCTTTCTCAATGCATTCTGGTCAACTTCGAAATATTTAGGAGCAACGTTGTTACCGCTACCTAGCCTCAAACCTTCATTTACATAACTCCCGCCATCTCGCATGTACTTCGAGAACCTCATATCCTCTGTTCGACCATATGGATCACTCGTTCCCGCCAAAAAATCACCCCGTCGTTCGCCAAAACCCGTTAGGAACCCATTTGCATTCCCATTATGTAAAAATTGCTGCTGTCGCCTGGATAATTCGTCTTTCTCATCTGTCCTGTCCTTCTCGTTATCGTCATTGAATTTCCTTTTCAACGACGATTCTGCAGGGCCACCTCGCTCGTTAGTACCTCGAGAATTCCAGTGATCTTGAGGCCTAGCACGCGCAAATTGTTCTTCCTGAACACCCCTAAACTCATCTGGGCTCATAGGGCCACCTGGGGGAAACCGATGGTCAAATCCACCATATTCGTGACCAGGACCACCAGACCCCATAGGTAAAAACCGACCAGCGAGATCCATGAACCTTGCAGGCGGAGTAAAATCTTTGTAGTCGAGAGGGAGAGCAAAGTACGACCGTACACTGCCATCCGCAAGAACAATCGTGCGGCGTTCAAGCATGTGGAATCCATAAGACGGTGGAGGTGGTGGGCCAAGAGCCGAGGGGTCGGGAAAGGGAAGTGGAATGCCAGGAGAAGGAAGTGGAGCCGAGGCCGGAGTTGGATTAACAGTCTTGTCGGCAGAATGCTTGGGGTGAGTGGAACTGGGACTAATTGTAGATTTCGAGGAAGGATTATAGGGTTTGGAAGATTTAGAGTCGGAGGGAGGATTGTTGGTGGAGGACTCCCAGCGGGATTTCCGGTTAGAAGGAGCGGCGGAAGCAGAAGAAGGCTTCTGAGACGACCTGGTGGTATTGCTACCTCCGGCCATGGCTGCTGTAGAAGCGGGCGGAGCCGCCTAATGTTAAAGAGTGATAAATCAGAAAATCGCCGTTATGCGTTCGGAACGGGGAACGGTGAACGGTGAACGGTGAACGGTGAATGGGGATTTTATTCTCTACTTCTCGGTCCCACCTGCAGTAAATCCTTTTTTTTTTTTAATTCATAGCGATATTTTCGGAAATAAAAAAGAATGAGCCCAATTTTATTTTCCTTTTTACCTCAATTTTCAATTTCAATAAATTAGACTAATTAACGTCTAAATCTCTACAATTATAACTAATTCAAAGCTATTTTAATAAATAATTATTATAATATTAAATTTTGCATAAATTTAAATTAAATACTTAAATTTGCCCGGTAAATGATTCTAACAAAACGACAACACAAGCTCACCGCTCCCAAACATACACGGTTCAAAATTGTTAGACTAACGACAATACGTAAGGGATCAAAGCAGACAATATCTATAAACAGTAGAATTTAGACTCTTATAAATAATATCATAATTAAATACGAAAGACGCAAGATTCAGAAGTGGGGTGGCTGAACACGGTTACTTTCCCAAATCCCAATTCGCTCTGTACCAAGAGATTGACGCGAAGCCGCTCTCTGCATATCCACAAGTAAGAACTCGAGGTTCATTTCCATACCCCAATTCATCCTCTTTCAATTCATTTGTAACATTTTTCTTCCCCCGATTCTTCTCTGGTTCGTAACTTCGTACAATGCCGGCACAAAGTTAAGGATTAGGTATGAACTAACACGCCAGCTTCTTCTCCGTTTGCTTATGCAACACACTCCATTTACGCACGGCTTCAGGTCGATGGATGCCTCAGTTCTGTTTAATTTCTGGTTGAATTCACGATGGTTGTTTGTTTCCATCGCAAATTCGGCATTCAATTGACGAATACAATCTACAGCAAGCACTTCGCGTCGTAGATTGTAATGGGAAGCTTTGTTTCATGATTAACCTAAGATTAAATAGAATAATGCGTTGTTTCCTGCAGGGGAATTGCTGGGGATGAAGCAGGTGTATAGCGGCTCAACTTGGCTGGAGTAATAATCAAGAACGAAGATGACTGCATTTATTCAAGCGAAGATCTGCCCTGCAACTATTTCAACATTTGATAGAATCTCAAGTGAAAATGGGCGTAAGTAACATTACCTGTAGCCATAAGTTAAGCTCCTGTGTCGGATCTGCAGCGTTGTCAAATATAATTGCACTTCCATTTTCCCAGTTAACACATCTCATGCTGGGAAACAACTAACATTGGGTAATAATTTTATCCTGATAAATTGATTAGGGGTCAAATTTGTTTATAAACTATAGAAATTAAGTTGTAATTGTTAAGCACTGTCATAAGCCCTATTCTATTGTGGGTTGTTAGTTTATATTTGGGTGACCTATTCTCAAGGTCTTGCTAGTCTTGTTAGCTTATATTTAGATGACCTATTCTAGGCTTGTTAGTTAAATTAAGTTGTAATTGTTAAGCACTGTCATAAGCCCTATTCTATTGTGGGTTGTTAGTTTATATTTGGGTGACCTATTCTCAAGGTCTTGCTAGTCTTGTTAGCTTATATTTAGATGACCTATTCTAGGCTTGTTAGTTAAATTAAGTTGTAATTGTTAAGCACTGTCATAAGCCCTATTCTATTGTGGGTTGTTAGTTTATATTTGGGTGACCTATTCTCAAGGTCTTGCTAGTCTTGTTAGCTTATATTTAGATGACCTATTCTAGGCTTGTTAGTTAAATTAAGTTGTAATTGTTAAGCACTGTCATAAGCCCTATTCTATTGTGGGTTGTTAGTTTATATTTGGGTGACCTATTCTCAAGGTCTTGCTAGTCTTGTTAGCTTATATTTAGATGACCTATTCTAGGCTTGTTAGTTAAATTAAGTTGTAATTGTTAAGCACTGTCATAAGCCCTATTCTATTGTGGGTTGTTAGTTTATATTTGGGTGACCTATTCTCAAGGTCTTGCTAGTCTTGTTAGCTTATATTTAGATGACCTATTCTAGGCTTGTTAGTTAAATTAAGTTGTAATTGTTAAGCACTGTCATAAGCCCTATTCTATTGTGGGTTGTTAGTTTATATTTGGGTGACCTATTCTCAAGGTCTTGCTAGTCTTGTTAGCTTATATTTAGATGACCTATTCTAGGCTTGTTAGTTAAATTAAGTTGTAATTGTTAAGCACTGTCATAAGCCCTATTCTATTGTGGGTTGTTAGTTTATATTTGGGTGACCTATTCTCAAGGTCTTGCTAGTCTTGTTAGCTTATATTTAGATGACCTATTCTAGGCTTGTTAGTTAAATTAAGTTGTAATTGTTAAGCACTGTCATAAGCCCTATTCTATTGTGGGTTGTTAGTTTATATTTGGGTGACCTATTCTCAAGGTCTTGCTAGTCTTGTTAGCTTATATTTAGATGACCTATTCTAGGCTTGTTAGTTAAATTAAGTTGTAATTGTTAAGCACTGTCATAAGCCCTATTCTATTGTGGGTTGTTAGTTTATATTTGGGTGACCTATTCTCAAGGTCTTGCTAGTCTTGTTAGCTTATATTTAGATGACCTATTCTAGGCTTGTTAGTTAAATTAAGTTGTAATTGTTAAGCACTGTCATAAGCCCTATTCTATTGTGGGTTGTTAGTTTATATTTGGGTGACCTATTCTCAAGGTCTTGCTAGTCTTGTTAGCTTATATTTAGATGACCTATTCTAGGCTTGTTAGTTAAATTAAGTTGTAATTGTTAAGCACTGTCATAAGCCCTATTCTATTGTGGGTTGTTAGTTTATATTTGGGTGACCTATTCTCAAGGTCTTGCTAGTCTTGTTAGCTTATATTTAGATGACCTATTCTAGGCTTGTTAGTTAAATTAAGTTGTAATTGTTAAGCACTGTCATAAGCCCTATTCTATTGTGGGTTGTTAGTTTATATTTGGGTGACCTATTCTCAAGGTCTTGCTAGTCTTGTTAGCTTATATTTAGATGACCTATTCTAGGCTTGTTAGTTAAATTAAGTTGTAATTGTTAAGCACTGTCATAAGCCCTATTCTATTGTGGGTTGTTAGTTTATATTTGGGTGACCTATTCTCAAGGTCTTGCTAGTCTTGTTAGCTTATATTTAGATGACCTATTCTAGGCTTGTTAGTTAAATTAAGTTGTAATTGTTAAGCACTGTCATAAGCCCTATTCTATTGTGGGTTGTTAGTTTATATTTGGGTGACCTATTCTCAAGGTCTTGCTAGTCTTGTTAGCTTATATTTAGATGACCTATTCTAGGCTTGTTAGTTAAATTAAGTTGTAATTGTTAAGCACTGTCATAAGCCCTATTCTATTGTGGGTTGTTAGTTTATATTTGGGTGACCTATTCTCAAGGTCTTGCTAGTCTTGTTAGCTTATATTTAGATGACCTATTCTAGGCTTGTTAGTTAAATTAAGTTGTAATTGTTAAGCACTGTCATAAGCCCTATTCTATTGTGGGTTGTTAGTTTATATTTGGGTGACCTATTCTCAAGGTCTTGCTAGTCTTGTTAGCTTATATTTAGATGACCTATTCTAGGCTTGTTAGTTAAATTAAGTTGTAATTGTTAAGCACTGTCATAAGCCCTATTCTATTGTGGGTTGTTAGTTTATATTTGGGTGACCTATTCTCAAGGTCTTGCTAGTCTTGTTAGCTTATATTTAGATGACCTATTCTAGGCTTGTTAGTTAAATTAAGTTGTAATTGTTAAGCACTGTCATAAGCCCTATTCTATTGTGGGTTGTTAGTTTATATTTGGGTGACCTATTCTCAAGGTCTTGCTAGTCTTGTTAGCTTATATTTAGATGACCTATTCTAGGCTTGTTAGTTAAATTAAGTTGTAATTGTTAAGCACTGTCATAAGCCCTATTCTATTGTGGGTTGTTAGTTTATATTTGGGTGACCTATTCTCAAGGTCTTGCTAGTCTTGTTAGCTTATATTTAGATGACCTATTCTAGGCTTGTTAGTTAAATTAAGTTGTAATTGTTAAGCACTGTCATAAGCCCTATTCTATTGTGGGTTGTTAGTTTATATTTGGGTGACCTATTCTCAAGGTCTTGCTAGTCTTGTTAGCTTATATTTAGATGACCTATTCTAGGCTTGTTAGTTAAATTAAGTTGTAATTGTTAAGCACTGTCATAAGCCCTATTCTATTGTGGGTTGTTAGTTTATATTTGGGTGACCTATTCTCAAGGTCTTGCTAGTCTTGTTAGCTTATATTTAGATGACCTATTCTAGGCTTGTTAGTTAAATTAAGTTGTAATTGTTAAGCACTGTCATAAGCCCTATTCTATTGTGGGTTGTTAGTTTATATTTGGGTGACCTATTCTCAAGGTCTTGCTAGTCTTGTTAGCTTATATTTAGATGACCTATTCTAGGCTTGTTAGTTAAATTAAGTTGTAATTGTTAAGCACTGTCATAAGCCCTATTCTATTGTGGGTTGTTAGTTTATATTTGGGTGACCTATTCTCAAGGTCTTGCTAGTCTTGTTAGCTTATATTTAGATGACCTATTCTAGGCTTGTTAGTTAAATTAAGTTGTAATTGTTAAGCACTGTCATAAGCCCTATTCTATTGTGGGTTGTTAGTTTATATTTGGGTGACCTATTCTCAAGGTCTTGCTAGTCTTGTTAGCTTATATTTAGATGACCTATTCTAGGCTTGTTAGTTAAATTAAGTTGTAATTGTTAAGCACTGTCATAAGCCCTATTCTATTGTGGGTTGTTAGTTTATATTTGGGTGACCTATTCTCAAGGTCTTGCTAGTCTTGTTAGCTTATATTTAGATGACCTATTCTAGGCTTGTTAGTTAAATTAAGTTGTAATTGTTAAGCACTGTCATAAGCCCTATTCTATTGTGGGTTGTTAGTTTATATTTGGGTGACCTATTCTCAAGGTCTTGCTAGTCTTGTTAGCTTATATTTAGATGACCTATTCTAGGCTTGTTAGTTAAATTAAGTTGTAATTGTTAAGCACTGTCATAAGCCCTATTCTATTGTGGGTTGTTAGTTTATATTTGGGTGACCTATTCTCAAGGTCTTGCTAGTCTTGTTAGCTTATATTTAGATGACCTATTCTAGGCTTGTTAGTTAAATTAAGTTGTAATTGTTAAGCACTGTCATAAGCCCTATTCTATTGTGGGTTGTTAGTTTATATTTGGGTGACCTATTCTCAAGGTCTTGCTAGTCTTGTTAGCTTATATTTAGATGACCTATTCTAGGCTTGTTAGTTAAATTAAGTTGTAATTGTTAAGCACTGTCATAAGCCCTATTCTATTGTGGGTTGTTAGTTTATATTTGGGTGACCTATTCTCAAGGTCTTGCTAGTCTTGTTAGCTTATATTTAGATGACCTATTCTAGGCTTGTTAGTTAAATTAAGTTGTAATTGTTAAGCACTGTCATAAGCCCTATTCTATTGTGGGTTGTTAGTTTATATTTGGGTGACCTATTCTCAAGGTCTTGCTAGTCTTGTTAGCTTATATTTAGATGACCTATTCTAGGCTTGTTAGTTAAATTAAGTTGTAATTGTTAAGCACTGTCATAAGCCCTATTCTATTGTGGGTTGTTAGTTTATATTTGGGTGACCTATTCTCAAGGTCTTGCTAGTCTTGTTAGCTTATATTTAGATGACCTATTCTAGGCTTGTTAGTTAAATTAAGTTGTAATTGTTAAGCACTGTCATAAGCCCTATTCTATTGTGGGTTGTTAGTTTATATTTGGGTGACCTATTCTCAAGGTCTTGCTAGTCTTGTTAGCTTATATTTAGATGACCTATTCTAGGCTTGTTAGTTTATATTTAGGTTTAGCAGAAGGCTATATAATGCCATTCTTTCTGCTGTTGAAATCATTTAAGTTTTCTGTGCAAATTGTATGCCTTGAGTAAATTTAGTGTTGTGAGTACATTTGTTCCGCTTTCGGCGCACAACAGTAATTGTTACATGCTAAAACTTAAGGGCTAAATCGTTACTTGTAGGAAAGTTTAGGGACTGAATAATAAGCATACTTGCTTGAACCTGAATGCATCCAAACACAAATTTGTTCTTGACTGTCTTTTATGCAACATAACAGATAAACTGCGATCCTGGTCTCAAGTTGTGCTACCATCTCAAGAACTTTGTAGGCGTAGTTTATTGTGTAATGGCATGTCATTGGTTGCCTTTCTCACATTCAACAATGCATTGACACCATGGTTGGCTCGGGCTGAAGAAACGCCAAATCACAAGGAGGAAGAGGAAAATGGAGTCATCGGGACGATCAAATCAATATTTGATCCAAATGAGAGAACCAAATCTGGGAAAGTATTGCCGAAGGCTTACCTGAAGTCAGCAAGGGAGGTGGTGAAGACGCTGCGTGAGTCATTACAGGAAGACTCCAAGGATGGTGCTAAATTTAGACGAACTGCAGATGCTGCAAAAGAATCCATTAGAGACTATTTAGGCAATTGGTTGGGGCAACAGGCAGTTATTCAAGAGGTATATTATCAAGTGAAAAATAGACATTGTAGTTCATGATGATCGTAATGAATCTATAATAACATTTTCACTTACTCACATGCAGGAATCTTATGCTGTGCTAGAGAAGGCAATAAGGTCATTGGCAGGTTTTTATGCAAAGGCTGGGCCATCTGCACCATTGCCGGAAGATGTTAAATCTGATATACTGAATGATTTGGATAAGGCTGAAGAATTCTTGTAATTGATGAGCATTTGAGCTCTAGAATAATATTTTTGTTTTAACATAACATTTTGTAGGTATGTAGCTTCACGACTGATCTCCACAATGGTATGATATTGTCCCCTTTAAATAGTTTCCATGGATTTGCTTTTGATTTCTCCTAAAGGCCTTATATTGATAAAAGGCCTTATATTGATGGCCTTATATTGATAGAAATGTATTCCTTACTTTTAAATCTATGATCACCCCTTAATTAGCTGACGTGAAACTCCTCTCCCTACAATTTTCAACAATCCTCCCCTCAACAAAGTACACCATAGAGAACAGTCTCCCCTTAATCGAAGCTCGACTCCTTTATCTGAAGCCTTGTTCAAGGCACCCTTTGTTTGACACTTGAGTCACTTTTGAGGCTCACAGCTTCTTTATTCTACACTTGGGGGCATAGCTCTAATACCATGTTAGGAATCACGACCCTCCACAATGATATAATATTGTCGAGCATAAACACAATTTTCACAATTTTGAACTTTCTGTTCTTATTTCCTCTACCCGTTGAGAAATAATTCAAAATATAAGATCAGAGTGAATACAAATTTTCGGCCACAGTCATTTGAGCCTTGTTATTCAATATTCAATAGAAGGCATCAATTATCAAATGCATAAACATTATTACAACAGTGATATATGACAGAAAAATGATTCAAGCTGAAGATCAAGTTATTTTCTTATACAATAATGTTCGATCATCAATCCTACAAGAATCTTTCTGCCATCATCTTCCTGCTCAAACATCCATCACCAAACATGACCGACGCAAGCGTTCGAAGCATTGCTCCAATCAATCATCACTAAATAAAGAATGTCACTTTAAATGATCACCATGGTCAGACTCACAACATAGTAAGGCAAGAAAGACGATACCTTTCCGTATTAAGGCACAAGTTTAACTTGCCATGTCGATGACAACAATCAGGTACGTGATAGAACACCTTTTGAACTGTAGACCGAACAATACGAACATTGTCATGGCATGTCAGAGTTAACCCAGAATTAACCCAGTTGATTCTCCAAATACAAGAAAGAAAAGACAAGTAAGATAGCATACCTGGGCACGGTGCCAAGACGGCGTGGGTCATACTCGGTTGCTTGTCTAAGAGCCCTGGCAAATGCTTTGAACGTAGCTTCAATAATATGATGAGAATTCTTTCCAGCAAGCTGTTCATCAACAGATTGGTTTTGGAATAAAGTGAAATTAGAACAGAAGTTATATACAATAACTCAACGACCAATGTACCCACTGTAATAAGCAGAAAATCATAAGCCTGACTAAGAAGATAAAAGACTTGGCTCACACTAAAAAATGTGAAATTGGGAAGGAGAACAAAACATTCTTTATAAGGATGTAGAAACCTCTCCCTAGTAGACGCGTTTTAAAAAACATTGAGGGAAAACCCGAAAGGAAAAGCTCAAAGAGAACAATATCTGCTAGTGGTGGGCTCGGGCCGTTACAAAAAATCTTTCAAAAACATCATTGTAAATACAACAAATATTGAAGAGTTACATGATTTATTGTTTAATTTGTTTTAGGCCTCTATTCCATCATGTTATAAAACTGCTCCAAAAATTTTACCTGTCGAATGTGAAGAGTCATACCAGAAGTATTCACCAGAGACTGGAAGAAATGCTCCACCAACTATTATATCAGAAAAACAGAAGTAAAGAACTATTCTGCAATGGGTTTACTTAGATGATGGCATGAAATCATAAATGAAAAGAAGAGATGTTTAGAACACCTGGGTGTCATATGTTCCAACTCTCTCAGTAGGTATCTGTAGATCACAACTCAAATGTGGCCGGCCAGATAAATCCTGTATATAACTTCAATCTAAGTCACTAGAATGCAGAATGAATAAAAAGAAATCAAACGCATAATGGATACTTGAAAGATCAGAATAAGTACAAATTGAAAATTTTAATCTTTAGATCTTAAGAGATCTCAACCCTCCTAACCAAGTTTGGAAAGTTAGAACAAGTTCTCCTGTTCTAAATGATTTACAGACAGCTCAAATTGTAAGCCTCCCTAAACTATGGGACTTGACAAGTGAGACATTTAATGGAATTGAAGATTAGTTCCCAGCTGGAGACTATTATAATTTCCATTGATAAAAGAGGTGAGATCTCACGTCGGTTGGAGAGGAGATCAAGACATTTCTTATAAAGGTCTGAAAACCTCTCCCTAGTGGACGCGTTTTAAAAACCTTGAAGGGAAGCCCGGAATAGAAAGCCCAAAGAGGACAATATTTGCTAGCAGTGGGCTTGGGCTGTTGCAAATGGTATCAAAGCCAGACACCGGGCAATATGCCAACAAGGACATTGGGCCCCCAGGGGGAGTGGATTGTGAGATCCCACATTGGTTGGAGAGGGGAATGAAACATTCCTCATAAGGACGTGGAAATCTCTCTCTAATGGATGCGTTTTAAAAACCTAGAGGGGAAGCCCGAAAGGGAAAGCCCAAATAGAACAATATCTGCTAGCGGTGGACCTGTGCTGTTACAAAGATCTAACCATCTTTATTAACATCAAAAATATGGAAGCATAAAAATGAATATCACACGGATCATACTAGTGAGACATGGATAAGTGCTTCGTCAAGAGGAGCCGAGAAGTCTCCAAACCGATAAATTCCTTTCCGATCACCAAGTGCATTCAGCAAAGCCTACAGAGCAAGAAGATCTAACAAATTAATTTGCAATAGTAAATAGAAGATGGAGCTGAGAATTCGAGTTTTTCCTGAAATTTTGAAACTGGACCAGTTCATAAGCCATAGAAAACCTCTTAAAACTCTAAGAGACATGGATGAACACAGAAAATATCTCCAGTCATACAATACAACAATCTGAAAAATTACAACTTAAACTTCTATAATAAGTTGTACAATACCGATCCAATTGCAAGGGCAACATCTTCATTAGTGTGGTGATCATCAATGTGGATGTCTCCCGTGGCCCTTACGTGCACATCGAAAACCCCATGTGAAGAAAGTTGCTAACAAGAAGAAAAAAAAAATTTAGAACAAATAAAATATTCCTCAACCAAATTTGGACAAACAAATTCCTATCATACCATCTAAATTTCAGATAGGAGAAGCTAAAAACAATCAATTCCAGTCAGCAAGAAAGGGTTATTTTCAACCAAACAATACAATCATTGAGCGTACATTGAACGCAGAGCATTCACTTCATAGTTTCTTCAAAGCAAAAGACAATTCTGGACCCACTTACATCTAACATATGATCAAGAAATGGAATCCCAGTATTACTATCCGCAATCCCAGAACCATCCAGGTTAATTTTGACAGATACATTTGTTTCCTTAGTGACCCTTTTGACTTCACCCACTCGAGATCCTGAAATTTCAAATAGAAGCAGATTCACGAATATCAGAAAGCTTATGAAGAAATTCAATGGCTATTCATCAAAAAATGGGTTCAGACTCAACCTGAAGAAGGGAGCACCGGAGAGCCGTTTCCTTCAGATGAAGAAGCACAACATACTGTCCTATTAAATTCCATTCTACCAATGAGTTTAAGAGATGAAACAGAACGGTGAAAATGGAAGGGAGAGGAAGAAATCTGAGGAACCCTAAACCCAACCTTGGGTTTCAGTAGCATCAGCGAAGTGGAAGAGCTTAGGAGGCGGGGAGATGAAGAAAGCTCCATTACAGTGTGTTTAGATTAGCTGTAAACAAAATACCTTAACCAAGTAGGGGTCGACAATTGACAAAAATAAGAAAAAGATTTTTAGGGCAAAATTGAAAAAACAAAAAATACAAAAAATTATTAAAAGTTTTGAGATTTATTTCTCCTCTTTGGAGTTTCCATTTTTTTGGTTTATGGCTTTTTTTTTTTTTTTTTTTTTTTTTTTTTTTTTTTTTTTTTTTTTTTTT